TGGTTGTACCCACCTATTTAACGCCTCAAAAATCTCTTCAAATTTGGCAAAAACTGAATTTACTCGTCCAATAACTGCCACTGGCGGGGGCCAGTGCGCCTCGGCACGGTTTACACAGCGCTTAAGCGTCGGATCTGACGCTTAAGCGCCAAAACACTTTTGCACATTTTTCACCTATTTTCTCCAAATTTGATCCTTTTTCACTCGTTTAAGCATTTTTCATCTTTTTACTTGTACCTGAAAGAAAAACACAAAAATACCTTCCATTAAAGCACAATATCTAAAAAATAGGTATAATAATGTGTCTAAAAACACTATATATTTTAGGCGTATCAATAAGTAATGTTTTAGTCTGGGGGAATTGACACAGATTAAAATTACCTATTTTTATGTGCATTTCATGCTCATTTTTAAGGATATTTAACTTTAATGAAAGGTATTTTGTGTGTTTTTAATTTCCAATACAAGAAATAGATTTTAAAAGCATAAGGAGCAAAAATGGGTTAAATGAAGCCAACGGACAAGAAATATGACCTGACGCCTAGGCATCAAGATCTGTCGCCTAGGCGCTAAAGAGTTTGGAAGGCTAGTGCCTAGGCGCAATGGGTGCGCGCCTAGGCTCCAGAGACGATTATGCCAAGATACATTGAATTATGAAAAATTTCGAAAGGTGCCTTAAGTAACTCTTGGTTATTTTTATAGCTCTTTATATAGAAGCATTTTCACACATCCAAAGTGAGGGAAAAAAGGGAGAAAAGTTGTTTTTGGGTAGGTTGGACCCCCATTAGGGGTGGGCGGCCACCATAGTGAGAGTTTGGTAATTGTGAGTGTTTGTAGAGTCTTATTAAGTCAATTTTGGTCAGGAAACTTCAGAGGATTGCTTGGGAAAGGTATTAGAGAAATAATTGTACTTTTTTTAAAGATTTGTCTTGTAAACTTGGTTTTTATATATAGAATGTTTTGTTTTGTTATTCCAATGATTTTGAGTTGTTTTCTTTTCTTTTTCCCCGAAATAAGAAGTAATCATGTGTGGGGTTAGAATGTTTTCAAGACTTCTTTTATTCCCACAATTTGTGATGGTAATTTCACATGTTCTTCATTTACTTTCTAAATCAACCATTTGTGATGTTAAAATATGTTGCAAAACATAATGACCTCAGAGGGCTATTATTTTACCAACTAGAGAGTACCACACTAAACCTTGGATGAAGAGAATTCTACATTTAAGGGAGAGTGCAAATAGATAGGGAGATAATTTTTTATGGTCGTAGAATTGATGATTTTGGAGTGACGGGCTAGAACCTTTTTTAATTTGGTCTTAATTGAGAACTTGAGTCTCTATTAAGTTCTATAAGAAGGCACATTGGGTAATCTGGAAGTGAGAGGCTAGAATCTACTCAACACTATCATACAATCAGGAACTTAACTTTAGATTAGTCAATGTTCTTTATGAGCTCGAAAGAGGTTAAAGAATAGATATGTTCCTAATTGTCACATTACCTCATTTTCATCTTTAACCATTTGATTCCTACACTGATTACAATTTCTTTGTAAGAGGAAAGGCTTTTTATTATAATTGCACTCCTTTACACATTTGTAGTTTAGAAACTTTGTATTTAATTTTAGCTTTAATTTAGAAGAAGCAAACTTTAGTTTATACTCTGTTATAAACAGTTCGATATTATTCTCTTACAAATTTAGTATATAGTTTGAGTAGAAATATTTCAAATTTAGCATATAAACTCCCTTTTTCCCTGTGGGTTTGATACTTTGTGGGTTTGATACTGGATTTTAAGGAAAACTATATATTACTTGAAACGATACATATACTTATGTATTATCCTTAGAGTGTAAGCCATTAATCAACTTTATGTCATATTTACTTTGCACACTAGCCACTGAATATAAATTGGGTCAAGTTTTTAGCAATCTTTTAGAACTTAAATAATTACATAATTGTGGGTCAGGTCATAAGCCTAACAATGAATTTCAGAAAAATAATGTTACACCCAAATAACACCACAATAACACCCAAATAACAAGAAATAACACCTAAATAACACCCAATATAACACATAAATAACACGGCGGTAACATAAGTGTACGACTGCTATAACACCTCAGCAAAACAGAAATAATACCACAATAACACCATAGAAACACAACAATAACTCCGCAATAACACCTAAACTATACCTCAGTAAAACCTAAAAACATAAATCTCTTTGAAAAAACTAAATAAAACAACAATATCACCTACATAATATCATAATAACACCCACAGAAGAATACAATAACACCAACGTAACAACAGAAAAACACCACAATAACACAATATAGGAATGATGAGATTAAGAACTTAGATGTACAAGAATATTACAAGAATAATACAGATCTAATTAGCAAATACAACATGAATATTACAACTATAATATTTCAAAAAATGAAAAGGTTATCTAATAAGATAAATGACTCACATGTACATGGTTGAGCCTCTTAAAGGCTTGATGAATCTGTGTTGCCTTCCAACTCACATTTGTTCGCTACCTCAGAATGTGAGGTGTGGTCTCAGAAGTGGTAGGACTGACCAAAGATGTGTGTTAATAAAACTAGAGCTGTGTAAAACATAAATCATTATCTATTATGATAAATAAAAAGAGAAAATTTTAAAAGTTATATAAACGATACTAACTGCTAGGAGAAAATCAAAACTATTTATATATCCTAATGATTGATCTCGCCTTATTTTATAAGAGATGACATTCACTTGCCCAGTGAAGACGTCACATACCACCACAGACCAATTAAATGAAGAGAATGACTCTACATTCTCACCAAATGCGTAAAGCCATTTAGGCACACTAAAATTGTAGAACAAAAAAATGAATTTTATTATAGAAACTTAGGAAATAATTCATCAAAGGGAATTGAACACTTCCCCATTGAAATCTTCACTAGGTCACTCTTGATTTATCTGACATCCACACCACAAGCGGAAACTTTATTCTAATTTATTGTTGATCCTCTATTGGGCATGCCTATCACCAAAAAAACCTGATCACGATCACAACTTAACTCCTTCCTTTCCATTTTGATTACCATTCTCTCGTAATCCCAGAATTTCAATATGTGCAGTGTTAGGTTTTTGTCAGGAGGATATGAAGGGAGATAAAAAAAAATTGAGCTAAATTCATTGTTTTCAATTTATTCTAGTTCTCCTAAGATATGATAGGTCATACCTTTTGAAGAGCATCTCTTACTAATTATGGACGACATCTACAATTCAAGGCCCTTGGATTCATAAACCTACATGAATACAACAATAAATTATCATTATAACAACACTAACAAATACGAACAACAATACGCCAAAATAACACAAGAATAATACAAGAGTAACACCATGATAATACCAGAATAACACCAGAATAAGACTTAAATAACACTTGAACAACAGTAAAATTGCAACGCAAAAATACTACCATAACACCAAAATAATACTGAAATAACACTACAATAATACCGCATAAAGAGGGACTCAGATTCAACGCAATGCAAACCATATTGCTACTAAGTTATTTTAGTATTATGTTTGGTATTATCATGGTGTTATTGTGGTGTTAACTTGGGTATTATTTAGCTGAAACATTGGTATTATTGAATGCAGAAACAAGCACAAACAAAACTACATGGATGTCTTTTGCTTGCTTTTTGCCACTTCGTGTCCTTCTTCTTAGCCTTTTTGGGTTCCTTCTTCTTATGTTCTTTCGTTACCATATTCTCCGATACTTCAGTTTCCATCTTCCTATAATCTTTCAACTCCATCTTCTTAGCCTCTTCGATTGTCGTCTTCTCTTCCATTGTTAGCTTCCTTCAAAAGGAAAAAGAACTACATGAGTTCACACTGTAAACCTTAACCCCTCACGCAAAGCTTCTACCGCAGTAAACCTCAAGGTCAAACCCAAGCTCTCAGAATGCAGCAATGAAAACACTAGCAAATGGCTAACGATGAAATTGTAGAATGAAGAGATGTGCAGCTATTTTTTCTTTTCAAAGCAGTGATTCTGACAGTTGAGTCGGCATGAATGTTTAGTTTTTAGAAGCATCAAGCTGGTTCGGGTCGAGTCTGACATAAAAATCAATTTTTTTTTAAATGTGTGTTCGGTCAGATACACATGACGTAATATTATTGGAGTCCGGACGCAGAACCATGTCCGGATTGTATGTAAAATTTTTTCCCTAAGGAGAGGGAGTTTGAAAAGTTAGGCTAAGGTTTATGAATGATCACACATGTTTCAAACAAGTGGCATAATGTTAAGAATATTTTTTATTTTTATAATATTAGAGAATACATTTGGTAATGCAATATTAACTTGGAAAAAATTAAGAAATTACTAAGACAAAAACTTTTATAAATAAATAAAATTGATAAAATATTTTAAAATTCAAAATTATAAATAATATATCATTCTTTCTTTTTCATGAAATATTAAATTTATTTAATTTTGCGTTCGGCTGAGGCTAGAGTTATAAAGAGACCCCGAATAACTCCACTCTTCTTCTGCTTGTTCTCTCCTCTTTCAGCTCATCTTTCCAAGTCAACCTCCGCTCCTCTCTAGAGAGAGAAACTGGGTAACCAGCCTCTCTCACTCTCTCTCTTTCTGGAAACAAGTTCTGCATAACAGAAGCAGTTTTGGTTCTGAAAGCCTGTTAAAAAAATTCTATTTTTTACAAAACCTGATGCGTTTTTCCTTCCCTTGTAACGATTTCAGCTTTAAAGCTCTCAGATCCGTTAGAAAATTTCTTGTATTTTACCTCTGATGTTCTGCTTTTTAAAGGTGGTAAGCTGATATCGTATATAATTTTTTCTTCTCTGTTTTTTTTTTATCATGACAGGTTGTTAAAGCTATGGCAAACGGCTGTGCGTTGCTACAGAATAGCTTTCCCGCTGGCGACCGTCAGGTCATCTGTCCGAGACCTCGAAGGCTTTTTGCCGCCGCCGCCGCCGCCCGCCCTGTCCGCTGGAGCGCCGTTTTTCCCTCGGAAGCATCGGATCCGAAACCCGCTAACGACGCCATAGATTTCCTTTTCACAAAGGTTCGATTTTTAACTCGTTTTAGTTTCGTCAGCACCATCTGATCTAAAACAGAGTTACCTGATGAGCTGATCTCCTTTTTCAGCAAACGGATCCTACGCCACCCTTTTTTTGTGGCTCGCCGCCGTCCAGATCCGTTAACCCTGTTGTCCACGACGCCCGTTTTGGCGAAGCGGTTCCGGCCGGCCCTGTTCCTCTTGCTCCGGCGTTGATCGGAACCGGATCCGGATCCGGATCTGGATCGGGTTCCTCGTCGGCTTCCTCGCGGAGTGGGTGTACCCGAGTCCGATATGGTCTCATGGCCGCCGCCGTCCGCGTTGAGGGTTTTGATTGCCTTGACCGTGAAAGCAGCCGAAGCCGCGGTATCCCGGCCTTTGCATAGGTGCTCCCGCATGGTGGTAACATGCGGTTGCTTTAAAAAAATTTTAAAACAGTGCTTCTTTGAAGGGTAAGAGAGCACAAGCGAAAATTAACATAATTTGGTGAGCCAAAGATAAAATTTGAGATTAATTATATATTTACTTGTAAATCTCAGAAGTTTTAAAACATCTTTGAGAGAATTTTGTGTATGTAAATATTATGATGAAAGGAAGGTGAGATTTTAAGAGAATTTCATTCGCTGTGTTTATTAGTTTTGGTTTTAGATTTTATGTAGAATTTAAGGTTTTAAGAGTCATTGAGTATTGAGTCTGTAATTATGTATATATATCTTTTATTCAATGTAAAATATTAAGGTTGCATGGCTTGCTCAATTCTTTTATTCTTTTTGGCATTTACATAACATGCTCATATATTGTTTTGTTTTTACATGTGTTTTCTCATGAGGATATCTATATATATATATATATACACGCGCGCGCGTCGCGTACTCAGATCAATTGGTCAGACATTTGCTTGTCAGTTGTAAGTCTTCTCTGGTATAGGCTCGAATCTCTCATAGTGTAGGGTGTAGTACTC